ACGCAATGCAACAAATCTACCTTTTCCAAAGCTGTTAGTGTGAAGCCAACACAAACGTCTCTTGTCGGAATTAGAACTCACATAGATCAAGTAAGACAAGCCTGCTAATCATTGCAACAAGACAAAGTGACCAAATATGATTTTATAAGGATATGATATGATATATCCCGGAAAGGGGTATATTTGTTCGAAGTAGCAAAATGGTTTTGGACTACTGTAACCGGGAAGGACAATCTCGCAGGTAACCGTAATGAACCGGTCCTTGTCGTAGTGGTAGGCAATAGGCGTAGTCAATCGGTGTCCTCCATGTACGTCCACCTCACTCTGTATTTATGGCTGACACCAGCCAATCATATTACTGTGAGGGGGAACCTAGGTGTATGCATATTCATTACATGAGGATAGCATAAATGTCGAACGTAGAGAACAACCAGTGAGGATCGAACACATTACCCTATTGCAATTGGTCGTACGAGAAAAATACTGAATGATTTTCTAAGCTTAGCTTAGATGCAGAACAGGGCCGAATGTATGGAACATCTAGTGAGATTCGAAAACACAACCCAGTTGATCTAGCGAGACAAGCTTGCTAACCACTAGACCGCGTCGAAGTGCTCAATACCTAAGCGTAGTTTATATATAGCACAAAGCAAGATTGATAAAAATTGTAATATTAGATATGGCACAAGGCCGAATGTGTTGAGCACCCAATGATACTCGAACTCACTACTCAGGCGTAATTGATCTAGCTAGACATGCTTGCTAAACATTTAAATACGCCTAAGTACCCTTTTCTAAGCGTCATTTAGATTTGGCAGTTGTCAGCAAGCATTGAGCCCCCAATGTGAATCGAACTTACTACCCAGTCGTAATTAATCTTGAAAGACAACCTTGCAAATCTTCACACCACATCGAAGTGTCCCTTTCGTCTGGTATAGTTAACTATTTTCTACAGAAAACAGTTCGGAATTGTAAATAAAAAAAAACAAAAACATACGAACGTAGAACCTTACAGTGACGCTTCATGCAATAGACTTTGAATACAGCTACTTACTTGTCCCCCACAGTAACGTGATGTGACTCAAGCTAGGATTAAAATAGAGAGCCAAGATCATGCACATGAGCTGAGGCAAAAAATTGCCCGAGGACTGCAAATTTATTTAGCATCTGCGAGAACATTTGACGACTTTCTTGCGTCAATATTCCACCGATCCTCCCTTTTTAGCAGGATCAGGGAGGTGCTGCTGTAGATTTGGAACCCCTGAACTAATCATCCCTCATTTATTTAATGGCACTCTGTCCGGAGACAAAGACATTTTGAGAGATAACAAATGTAGCTATCTACCAAAAAGGGAAGGATTTTACAGTTATTTAGTCGCAACCCGCCACAGTGACGGAATAGGACACAAGGTCGTGGGTAGTTCTAGCGCGTGTACCTGGGTTAAAGACAAAAATCTGCCGACCCTGCTTCTTTAGTGAAAAGAGGAAGGTGTTGGGTCGGAATCCTCTGGATGAAGCATTCATCATTTATTTATATATTTGCGTCCTGTTTGAAGACAAAGACACGTGTTGAGAGAAAAAAAATGTAGAGATGTTTTTGGATTGTAGACCATAAATAAGATTCGAACATTTTTTTTTTTAAGTCGAACATTTCGAGGCGGGTGACAAATATGGTTGGCTTCACTACAGAAAAAGCTCATATTAGAACGTTGATTTATAAAACGGACAAATCTCCCTCGCCTCAAATATTGACGTCAAACAACATTCTTTTTTCATATTTAGCTTTGTTCAGCACTAAGATAGCATTATTTAATAACAGTAAATAAAATAAAAATACAGTATTGCATCATGGGTAAAATAATATGTGAAAAATAAAATAAATACATTTAAATGGCGGCTTTATACAGTATTTTATTCGATTATATTTATCAGTAATCTTGCATATTGAATAAAATTTAAAAACATAACCTGGTTTCAAGCCTGAAAGTCCACGTCATCTCATGCCCGAAAGCAGAGGTGTTTAACTTTAAAAAAAATAAACTGATATTTCATTTACATATAGATTCAAAAATGTTAACGAAAAGGCAAATAAAACACTGCTTGAATAAATTCCTAAGAACTTTCAATATTTGATATGTCTTTACTGAGTCATTGAAAATCATCTTTCACTTGAACGGCTTGAATAGCAGACGTTAATTTTTACAGCTTGAATTTTCTCTGATTTTTTTTTCTCTTGTTTTTTTTTTCGTTTTTCTTACTTCATTCGTTCTGTCATGTCGATCGGTCTTTCAAAAACGATTCATATTCACAGAACATTGGGGTTAGCAGACGTTATTCACCCAGCTATTTTCGACCTGTTACTGCGAAATCTAGCACTTCGACGCGGTTAGTTTTAAAATAATTCAGACTGTTAGATAAAAGGTTGTGCTTATATATTTAAACTTGACTTTACAGCTTTATATTATTTTAATCATTTCACCCCAAGTAAGCAAATAAAACCACTAAGATACAAAGGCTTACTGAGTATGAAAGAATAAGAAAAAAAGAGAAATATTATTAAGGGGGGGGCGGGAACAGAAATAGAAGACGAATCAAGAAGACAGAAGATAAATATTGACATTGCTTTTAAACTTTTGAAGGTCAAAATTGGCTGGACAACAAGAAACCGGTGATAAAACGACTTACTGTTGCATCTCTCCAGCTCAACTGTAAAATGATAAAGCCTTGTTGACAATCTAGTACTGCACTTAAATTCATATAAAATTAAGACAAAAATAATTGTCCAGATTTGTGATTGGCTGACCTGGAGTTCCAAATGCATTTATCAAATCAAAACATTTTTTTTTTTACTTTCCGTACAACGGGAGATGAAACTACTATTTTATTATAATGGTCTTATTTCAAACTAATCACGTGTGCGAATGATATCTGTTTATAGCTCTGAGATGAGGTAATATGATTTGATTATTTACATTATTCGGACTGTTATCTTCATCTTCATATTCACGACATTTCGGCCGTTGTAGGCTCAGGCCTTCTTCAGTGGATTGGAATTTCGAACCGAAACAGTGGTAGATTTTCTAGTTCCACGTGCCAAGCCTCTTCCGTATGTCTCAGTTATCTCCCTTTTAACTCAAGTTTTGGTTCTGGTATTAAACTCACAACTCTTTGGGTCTAGTCACTGGATTTAATCAACGCCTTTATCCACTGGGTGATGTGTCCTTGTGGACATCTGTGAATAAATTTCTGGGATATAAATCATAGTGTCTCAACAACCATTTTTAGTGCTCAGACTAAATTTTTTTTCTGTTATTATTATTGCATATTCTTATCAGTTATTATATTCATTATATTAATTTCCTAGCACATCTTATTTTCTTCATATAACATATCATTATCATTACCATTTTATCAGTAAATTTCTAATTTGAATGTCTCTTGAACCTTATATTAGGTGAACTTTAGTATAAAAAATATAGCTTAATATGGCATTAAAATTGATTACAGAAATATATTATTACAACGTTCTGTTGATTCACTTTTGAGCGTTATAAATATTTATTCGATAGGTCATTAAAATTGAAATATTTAAGTTACAGACCATTAACATAGAAATATTTAATTTATAGATCATTAAAATAGAAATAATTAATTTATAGATCATTAAAATAGAAATGTTTATTTATTAGAGGATTAAATTAGAAATCATTTATTCATAGACCATTAACAGAAATATTTATTTGATAAACCATTAAAATAGAAATATTTTAATAGATCGTTAAAATAGAAATATTTAAGTTATAGACAATTAACATTGATATATTCCTTTGATAGACCATTAAAATAAAAATATTTAATTTATAGATCATTAAAATAGAAGTATTTATTTTTATAGACCATTAAAATAGAAATATTTATTTTTATAGACCATTAAAATAGAAATATTTATTTTTAGAGGTCATTAAAATAGAAATGTTTATTTTTATAGACCATTAAAATAGAAATATTTATTTTTATAGACCATTAAAATAAACATATTTATTTTATAAGCCATTCAATAAATTGCTTACGCTTTTCGAGATCTTTTTACATTAATGTTGGTTGTCCGTTGTATACTGTTCTTTGGGTGCTAATAACATTTTGTTCAGAGCACCTAATAAAGTGCGAATGATACAATTCGAACACGCCACAACACTCCCACGGAGTCAATTCGCACTCGTTTCCTTCGTATTCCAATATACGAAGTTCCACTGAGAATGCTTCCCTGATAATTCCAATCTGAACATTTTCAAATCAAGGATCAATCGTTATCTACCCGCTACTTTATAATATTCATGAACTACCACTTCCTATTTTATTCATACAGCATAGTATTTATAATTACCATCTTACCCGCATATCTCTACTTTGAGTGGCTCTTGTGTCTTGTATTCGGTGGAAAATAATTTCCCCTACGTCAAAATTTAAAAACAAAATAATTAAAGTCTGCAGACCGCGAAAGATTGAGCCTCGGTTAACTCAGCCAGGGAAACCGTGCTCTAATCTTTGGATCACACCTGCAAATGTTGCTCAAACTAGTTCTCTCTGGAATAAATATTCCTCTCGAATTTTCGCGCTTTTTTTTTTAAATTTTTGTTTCATTTTAAAAATCGTGTATATATTTGTACTTGTGCCGACCAATTTGTTTCAATTCTTCTTGTCTTTTGATTACTTTGTTTTTTCATATAATTAATCATCTTTGGAATTAGGAGAGAAATCATGACTCTCAGCATACACTTCATCAGTAGCAGCAGCCGCAGCAGCCGCAGCAGCAAGAGAAGCAGAGAGTGTCGTAATGTCTTTCATTCGCTGAATTGTCTTCATTGCATTTCTTTTTATTTTATTTAATCATTGTCGTTAATTCTTTATTGGAAATTCTTTCTTGCATTTTCTACGGCTTCTGGTTTGACGACATCAGATTTTTTTTCTGTTCTTTTCTTTTCCTTGTCATTTTTCGGAAGATGGATTATTATATTATTGCCCAACGACCCAATCTTCCACCCGCCACCCAATGGACATCATCTCTACTTGTCTTCATTCTTTCATTCTCTCTTTCACATTCTTTCTTTCTTTTTGCTTTTTTATTTAATTGGTACGTTTCCATTCCAAATTCTTTCTTCTTTCTTTTTTCTTTCTTTCTTTCTTACTTACTTTTTCATTATTTCTTTCTTTCCTTTTTTCTTTCTTGTGCCTTTTTTATTGTATTGGTACGCATCCATTCTAAATTCTTTCTTTTTTTCTTTCTCTTTTTCTTTCTTTTTATTTCTTTTTTATTTAATTGATAGCTTTCCATTTTGAATTCTTTCTCTCTTTTGTCTTTCATTCTTTCTTTCTCATTCTTTTTTTTTTCTTTTTCCTTGTTCATTTTTTTATTTAATCGGTACATTTCCATTTTAAATACTTTCTTTTTTTTCTTTTTCTTTCTTTCGTTATTTTTCCTTTCTTCTTCCATTTTTATGTGATTGGTACGTTTCAATTCTAAATTTTTTCTTTCTTTCTGTTTCCTTTTTAATTCAATTGGTACACTTCCAGTATAAATTCTTTTTTCTTCCTTTCTCTCTTTCTTTTTTATTTCCTTCATTTCTTTCTTCTCCTTTTTTTTTATTTAATTGGCACGTTCCCATTCTAAATTACTTCCTATTTTCTTTCTTTTTTCCTTTCTTTCTTTCTTTCTTTCTTTCTTTCTTTTTTTCCTTTCTTTCTTTCTTTCTTTCTTTCTTTCTTTCTTGTTCCTCTTTTACTTAATTGGTACGTTTCCATTCTAAATTCTTTCTTTTTTTCTTCTTTCTTTCTTTTTTTCCTTTCGTTCTTACTGTCTTTGCTATTCATTTTTTATTTAACTGGTACGTTTCCATTCTAAATTCTTTCCCTCTTTCTTTCTTTCATTCTTTCTTTCTTTCTTTCTTTCTTGTTCCTTTTTAATTTAATTGATACTTTTCCATTCTAAATACTTTCTTCTTTCTTTTTACTTTCTTTCTCTCTTCTTTCCTTCCTTTCTTTCTTGTTCTTTTGTATTTAATTGGTATGTTTCCATTCTAAATTCCTTATTCTTTCTTTCTTTTTCTATATTTCTGTCATTCTTTCTTTCTTTATTTTGTTCTGTTTTTATTTGATTGGTACATTTACATTTTAAATATTTTCTTTCCTTTTCTCTCTCTTTCACTTTTTCTTTCTTTCTTTCTTTCTTTCTTTCTTTCTTTCTTTCTTTGGTGTCCTTTTTTTTATTTATTTCGTGCATTTATTTGTTTAATGGTCATTTTTTTCTTTTAATTATGACGTATCCATTCAGTATTTTTTCTTTACTGCCTTTTTTTGACAATTTTATCAACATCCTTTTCCTCCTCTTTTTTTTTACTAACTTATGTTTCTCTTTCTTCCTTCTTTTTACCTTGCTTATTTTTATTTATTTCTTTTAATTATTTTTCATATTCTTTTTTGTTAAGACAATTTTTTCCCAATCGAATTTCATCGTTTTTTTTATATTTTTATGATTATTTCTTTCTTTCTTTTTCCAGTTTTGTCTTTCTTTGTTTATTTTTTTTATTCTTTTCCGCTTTTCATTCTCAATCGTATTTCTTTTTCTCGAAACGTTTTTCTTATATTTCAATTTCGATGTTTTTTGTTTCTTTTTTTTCTTTCTTTTGGTCTTTCATTCCTTCTTTCTCTCTTTATTTATTTGTCAATTCATTTCTTTCTCTATTTATGTTATACACCTCTATTTTATCTTCAACATATTTCTTTCTTTCTTTCTTTCTTTTTTCATTGTTTATCAATTTTCCTTTTTCTTCATCCCATCTATTCTTTCTTTCTTTCTTTTTCATTGTTTAACGCGTTATATCTTCCTTTTTCTATTTATTTATTTATTTATTTATTTATTTATTCACACCTCACTTTTTCTATCCAATTCTTTCTTCATTTTTTCTTCATCCAGTCGATTCTTTCTTTCATTTTCCTTTTTTCTTTTTTATTGTTTCTCCTTTTCTATCTTCTTTTTGGCTATTTATTTATTAGTTCAGCTGTCACTTTCTAAACCCTAAATTTTTTCCTTCTTTTTTTACTTTCTTCCTTTTTGTATTTTTTTAAATTTATTTATTCAACTCTCACTTTCTCCATCGTCTTTTTTCTTTCTTCATTCTTTCTTTTTTTTCATCCAGTCTATGCATATCTTTCTTTCGTTCTTCATTTATTTATTTTACAAACTTTTTCCCCAGTTAAGTGCTTTTCTTCTTTTACAGTTTAAATAAAAAATCTTTCGCTTTAACCTTTCTTTTCAATTTGCCATGTTTTTTTTCTTTTCTTTTCTTTTCTTTTTATTATTCCTACCGAAGTCACAGATATCTTTTTTCCATGATTTCAATTTAATCATCCTACTTTTTCTTCTCCGTCGTGTCTGAAAATGTCATTTATTCTAACGATTTACTCATATTATTTTTTTTCTGGCTCTCTGCAACTGCTTTTCGTACGATGGATTAATTTCCACAATCCATCTTATTTGTAACGCTGATACTTCATGTCAGCACTGAAAGCCGCCTGTCTTGACTACACACTTCATCATAGCAGTCAAGACGGTAGAGTAATCTGCCCTTATTTCGTTCCATTGCCGCTAGGATGAAATGCATATCACATATATTTACATAGCATCAACAATAAAGCTCACTGCAGAGATGTAAATTGCACTCAACGTATTTGAGAGAAATGTGCTCCTTAACGCGTTATACCGATTTGTCTTGCGAAAATTGTTCGAGTGTAGGGAGATTATGCGAAGAATTCACGCCAAAAAATCCTTTTTCAGTGCAAATATGACATGCTATAAGTAAGTTTTCGCGTTCCAATGAGGAAAAAAACGTAATACTAAGCATCATGCATCGGACAGGGTTTAATTTTTGGACTCCAATACAGTCAACAGAATTATGCCAGGTTGCTATACAAATATTCTTGGTAAGATTTAATCTAGTACAATCTGCCATATAGTCTAGGGGTTGGTGATACACCAGTTCTCTCATTAAGTTTTCCCGATAAAGAGGGTGGCTAGACATGCAGAACGATTAAAAACAAGAGCAATGAGATGGAACAAACCTTTTGTAAGGTCAACGGATGTAGATAGATAGATAGATATAAAATGAAATGACTGAAATAGATAGATAGATAGATAGATAGATATAAAAGGAAATGCCTGAAATAGATAGATAGATAGATAGATAGATAGATAGATAGATAGATAGATAGATAATGAAATGACTGAGAT